GGGAGTGGAGCACTGTCAGAGGGTCAGTGCTGAGGGAGTGGAGCACTCCCACTCCTGTTTTCTATGTTTTTGGATCCCTTCTCAGAACAAATTTGTTTTGCCCCGTCTTCCATGACTAATCCTCTTAACTGTTTAACCAACTTCAACGGATCAAGAGTCCATCTTCTACACTGAGGAAAGCACAGAGAGATGTATCCAACACGCCTTCACCCTTAGCTTTTTAGCCCTGGTCAATCTCGTGATTTTGCACTGCACCCGCACCAAGGCCAGAAAATCTTTTGGATGGGATTGATAGATCTAACTCATCACCAAAATCAGACACCATGTGAACAAACATCAGGCCATTCAGCCCCTCAAACCTGTTCCACCATTCAATACCATCATGACTGATCTGATTACGCCACATTCTTGCCAACCTCCAATAATCTATCAACCCTTGTCTCATCAAGAACCTCTCCTCCTTTGCCTTAAAAATATTCAAGGAGTCTGCTTCCAAACCTGGTGAGAAAGAACAATCCCAAGGCTTCTTCGACGCTCAGTGAGAAAATTGTTTTACTTATCATTGTTTCAAGTGACCGACCTTTCACTTTTGCACAGTGACTTCCTAGTTCTAGATTCTCCTACGAGGGGAAACATTCTTTTCACACCCACCCTGTCAAGGATTAAACATGTTTCAATTAAGTTGCCTCTGATCCTAAATATTCACAAAATTGCTTCCTATGTATTTCCATCCTTCCTTGGATAAGGTGACCAATGCTGTATACTCCAGTTTCAGCAACACCCTATATAACTGAAGCATAACCTCTCTACTCCTGTACTCAATTCCCTGTAACATTCTAGTAGTTTTCCTGATTACTTGCTGTACCTGTATTCTCACCTTCTGTGATTCGTATACTAGAACATCCAGATCTGTCTGCATCTCAGAGCTTTGTGACCTCTCCCAATTTCAATAACACGTTCTTCTTCATCCTGTCAAAACAGACGATTTAATATTTTCTCAAATTGTGCTCCATTTGCCATATCCTTATCCATTCACTTAACTTAACCACATTGCTTTGCAGTCCCCTATATCCTTTTCACTTGCCAGTTGGAAGGTGACCCACTTTTGCCTGCTCACCGTTATCTGTTGAAGCTTTTTGTCTTGCATTCATCAGGACAGAATTGCAAGAATGCCAAATTTCAAAGGGAGCAACAAGTTATTAGGTAAGGTAAACCAGATAAGGTAAATGGTGGAAGGCCAAGGGAGTGTTGAAGAGAAATATGTTCATCCAGAGAGTGGTGAGAGCCTGAAAGGATGGTTGAGTTCAGGCACCCTCTTAACATTTAAGCATTATCTAGATACATCGTGCGTTGCCATAGCGCCCAGGTCTATGGGCCAAAAGATGGAATATGGGTTTAATGTAGGTTTTGTTTGTTGACTAGCATGGACACAATGAACCAAATAGCCTCATTTTTGCTGCACAAGTTTATGACTTATATACCATAAGAAAAGGATGCCAAATGGGTGGTGAGTCAACTCTGATTGAGGTGTTGCCTTGGAGAATGCACACAGGAATTATTGTCCCCCCACACTTTTGATTAGTTTAACCATGTGTGGGTCCCTGCATAATAAGATATGTAGATTCTCGCCTGCGTAAGTAAACCACTTTATAAACCTCACTGATAATCTGAGATAACAAGGTGTAGAGCTGGATGAACACAGCAGGCCAAGCAGCATCAGAGGAGCAGGAAAGCTGACGTTTTGGGCCCAGACCCTTCTTCAGAAATGGGGGAGGGGAAGGGGATTCTGAAATAAATAGGGAGAGAAGGGGAGACGGATAGAAGATGGATAGAGGAGAAGATAGGTGGAGAGGAGACAGACAGGTCAAAGAGGTGGGGATGGAGCCAGTAAAGGTGAGTGTAGGTGGGGAGGTAGGGAGGA